GAGTGTTGAAATATTGAGAAGCGCAGCACTTGTGCATTTTTAATAACAAGAGGGTCAACAAGGACACAGCTCCCTCAGTGCCAATAGTTGCCACACCAGGGCTATAAACGCTCTCAGTTCATCAGATTTCTTAAACAGTTCATCAGCTTTCTTAAACACCCTAAACCCCCTCAGCGGACCTTTAGTCTTAAATTAACAAACCAAAGCAATGAAAGAGGGTGCAGCGTGAATGGCCAGCATTGATCCCCAACGGGGCTTGGCGCGGCTACAGGCACTGAAAAACCCGCTCCATTGTCGGGAGGAATTGACAAACCTCCTTGCCTAAATAGTCCAGCTGAGGCGGGCTGGAGGCACGCAGCTGTAAAGGGCTCCCCTCGCCCCGCTCCCAGTGCTCACAATGCACCAGGCATGAGCTCTTTGTCAGGCCCAGACTCTGCAATTTTCTAACAAGGATTAAAGTTGTTTCTCGGCAGGGTCGGTGAAAAGCGATTTAGCAACATACCACGCTTTCTTCAGGCAAGTTAAAGAGAAGTAGTTAAGGAATTTCATTATTCTGTTGACCGGTGGAAATACAAAACAAATATATTAAATATTCACCATCTTTCTGGGTGCCTGAGCTATAACGTTCGCAGAATGGTTCAATTAAATATAACACTTACCAGCTGAAAGCAAGCACTTCAGATCTATTTTTGAAGTTTTATAAAAAGGTGCAGCTGTTTGCCACCTGGAAGGAGGCTCAATACATACTAATACACAATGCTTTAGTCCTTCTAGAGCTGGTGTCCCTAACGCCTCAGACACAAGACCCCGTTGAGTTTCTATATCTTGCCTGCTCTTGATAAATGGGCACTGTCAAAATGCTTTTTCTGCTGAATATGGCAGGGGGATAGCTTTTCTAGGAACCGCATTTTATCTTCCTACCGAAGCCTTTATGGCACTATTGATCAGGAATTGAGTCGCTCAGATGATGACGGGATGTTTTTACTTCCTCCAGCTTTACTTTTCCTACCAGGAATAATAACAAAAAGTATTCTTCTCACTGAAGAGCTTGTACATCAAAGGCAACATAAGCTAAAATGCAAAAGAAATACTATGAGCGTGCTAAATATGCTAGATGTTAAATGCTAATGCTAGGTGCTAAAATGCCTAGTTTTTATTAAAAGCTAATGCTATTATATTGTTTCAAGATTTTGATAGCTAGCACTAGTAGTGTGCCAAGGAACTTTTAGAACATTTTAAAAAAAGAATAAATACAATACAGAAGAATAAGTTATTCCTTAAAAATTAAAATAGTAAAAGTTAGAAAAAAGCTCCTGATTTAAGTTTCATAATTTATTTCCCTCTTTTAAAAATATGAATAATCCTACTGACTTTCTTTGTTGACTATTAAAGATAATGAGAGAATCGAATGTTATTTGCAGTGACTTTGAAAACACTCTGAGGTTTAGAAATTATAGCTCTATTTTCCAGTTTAGGTATATACATCATGCACTTAAAGGAAGATTTTTACCTGAGCAGTGATGAGTTCACACATTC